AAAAAAAAAAGAATTCTCTTTTCCAGATGACTCAGCAGACACAAGCTCTTGCTGCCAGGCCTAACAACCTGAGTTCAATCCCCAGTGGAGGGAAAGAACCAACTCCTGAAAGTTGTCTTCTGACCACCACACAAAAACCATGGCACACTGGCTTCTACATCACCTCCCGCACACAAAGTAAATAAACACATAAATACACTAACATGCACCAAGCCCTGGATTTCATCTCCAGCACCATGTAAACTGGGCTTTGGTGGCACAGGACTGTAATTCCCCATTTAGGAGTGGAGGCAGGAGGGTCAGAAGTTCAAGGCTAGGTTGGGGAGATGATTCAGTGGATAAAGTATCTGCCACACAAACATGAACTCCTAAGTTCGAATCCCCAGAAGCCATGTAAAGCCAGATGCATTAGCCTGTATCCGAAAACCCAGTGCTCCTTGGTTAGACAGGAGGCAGAGACAGGAGAGTCCCCAGGAGCTAATGGGTTGGCCAGTCTGGCAGACGCAGCTGTGAACCACAGATACTCTGTCTCAGACAAGGTGGATGGTAAAGACCAACCCCAGGGTTGTCCTCCAACCTGCACTCACACACAAACACATACACACATGCACACACACACATCATACACATACACATACTAAATAAATAAATAGGCAAAGTCTACTAAAAAATCTAATTCCGGCTGGGCGTGGTGGCGCATGCCTTTAATCCCAGCACTCGGGAGGCAGAGGCAGGTGGATCTCTGGGAGTTCAAGGCCAGCCTGGTCTACACAGTGAGTTCCAGGACAGCTGGGGCTACAGGGAGACCCTGCCTCAAAAAGACCAAAAAACAAGAGAGAGAGGGCAGGGGCTAGAGAGACAGCTCTGTGGTTAAAGAGCACTGGCTGCTCTTGCAGAGGACCTGGGTTTGGTTCCTAGCACCCACATGGCAGCTCACAACTGTCTGTAACTCCAGTTCCAGGGGATATGATGCCTTCTTGGGTGTCTGTGGGTACCAGGCATACATGAGGTACACATACATACATGCAGGAAAAACACTCATACATACAAAATAAAATAAATTTTTTATTTTGTATGTATGAGTGTATTGCCTGCATATATGTGAGTACACCCGGGTCGCACAATGCCATAAGGTCAGAAGAGGGCTTTGGATTCCTCTGGAACTGGAGTTAAGGGCGGTTCGTAGCCGCCATGTGGGTGCTGGGAATCGAACCCAGGTCCTCTGTGAGAGCAGTCAGTACTCTTAACTGCTGAGCCATCTCTCCAGCCCTATTTATTTTTATTTTGAAGACATGATCTTACTATGGACTCCTGGCTGGCCTTGAACTTAAGAAGATCCACCTATCACTGTTTCTTGAGAGCTGGGATTAAAGGTGTTCAGCACCATGCCTGGCCTATTTATTTTGTGTGTGTGTGTGTGTGTGTGTGTGTGTGTGTGTGTGTGTGTACTCACAAGTACCAGAGTACCACAGCCCTTGTGCAGAGGTCAGAGAACAACTTATAGGAGTCAAATCTCTCCTCCTCCATGTGGGTTCTGGGGATCCAATTTAGTTAAACAGGCTTGGTGGCAAGAATCCCCAGTAAGTGAGGCTGGAGAGCTGGCTCAGTGGTTAAGAGCACTGGCTATTCTTTCAGAGGACCCAGGTTCAATTTCCAACACCCACATGGCAACTAACAACTATGTGTAACTCCAGTTCTAGGGGATCTAACAATCTCTTCTGACCTCCACTGGCATTGCATGACACACATGCACTTACATACATGTAAGTAATATGCTCATACACATAAAATAAATTTTTGGAGAGTCTTTTTGAGACAGGGTCTCCTGGTAGCCATAGCTGACCTGGATTCGCTATGGAGACCAGGCTGGCCTCGAACACAAAGAGATCTGCCTGCTTCTGCCTCCCAAGTGCTGAGACTAAAGGCGTGTGCCACCTGCCCGGCTAAATTTTTTTTTCAAAATTAGAGAATGGGAGGGATAGTGTTTGTTTCACAAACCTCATGGCCTTTCCTGTTCCTGAGCCTGGGGAAACTGACGTCTGGCATGCCTGACCTGGGTGCTCCCCACAGGTCCTTGGGAGATGAGAACACCCAGCTCACCACCACCATTGGCCACACATGCACCTGGCATCGCCCACCCCCACCCCCAGACTGAGCCATGTCCTTTCTGAGGACATGTGGCTGTGAGGCAGGAAGGCACTAGCCTGAGATCCGCACCATGAACAGTACTGGGACATCGCCATGTCAGGCCTCCCATGCAAACCTACCTTTCTTCACTGAAGGGACCTTACGAGCCATGAGGACGGGCAGGGGTACCGAGCCCAGCTGCTCAGCAGCCACCTTGGGGCCCACCTGCTGCTTCTTCCTCCGGCGCCTCTTCAGCTGGTGGGCAGCCAGGGCCAAGGCCACAGTCCCCAGGGCCGTGGCAAAGAGAACCTTCCGCAGGCCTGGCGTCAACCGCAGCTGGGAGAACGCTGACTGCAAGAGACAGGGACCCTGGCTATGTCACCCAGAGGAAAGCACTTCCCAGTGCACCTAAGGGATGGGACACAGTGTCCCTCTGCTGATCAAGACAGGGTCAAGAGCCTGCCACCACTGGAGAGGGGACTGGGCCAGCCTCTCTGAGATCGTACAACAGAGATATAGAAATAACACTTGGGAGGCAGACAGGTGGACCTCTGTGAGTTTCAGGCCAGTCTGGTCTACATAGTGAGATCGCCTCTCTGAGATCGTACAACAGAGATATAGAAATAACACCTGGGAGGCAGAGACAGGTGGACCTCTGTGAGTTTCAGGCCAGTCTGGTCTACATAGTGAGATCCTGTCACAAAAACAAAAACAAAAAACCCCCAAAAGATAGCACAATACATTGCCGAGGATGAAGCCTGGGGTCCAGTGTGTCCCCAACACTGTAAGCCGCCATGCTGTGCCTGTTAGGGATGTTGTGCCTATGTCAGGCACAGCACCAGGACTCGACCTGTCACTGGTCGGAATCCTTGCCATTTTCCAGGTAAGGAATCTGAGGCTCATGTCAGTTAAGATACATGCAGATGGTGACCGACTCAACATGAACACAGACCTGGTGACCACTCCCACCCATTTCCCAATGACTCCTGGAACCAATGGCATCCACTCCCCCACACACCCCCACCCAAACAGGCTCACCCGCCACCCTCTGCTGCTGGCTGGTGTGAACCTTGGGTGGGGCTGTGTCCCACAGGACAGGGCTTTAGGGAGTGTCAAGAAGCTTGGTGAGTTACAGACATATAAGGCTGTCAGGGAAGGTGGGACTGACCCCTTCCATAGACTGAGACTGAGGTTGAGAGTTCATCTAGCCTTAAGGCAAAGACCAGGTTTGTTTCCAGACTCTAAATCCAGTCCCGCTTCCAGAGAAGACACCAGATCTATGATGTGACCAACTGCCCACTGGACAGAGTCTAGAATACGTCTGGGTATAGCTGGGAGGTATTATCTATGCTAATGCTAGCCTCTGAGAACATCTGTGAGGGACTATCCTGATTATGTTTTCATGAAGGAAGACCTGTCTTAATTGTATGTGGGGGATGCTTCCCTTGGCAGAGGATTTGGGACTGTGAAAAGAGAGAAAGTGAACTGAGCACTAGTCGGCACCGGTCCATTGGCCTCTGCCTCCTGAGTGCCGAAGCAATGTGACCAGCCAGCTTCCTGCTTCCGTGCCTTCCCCACCATCAGGAACCACATCCACCAGCCTGTGAACTAAAATAAACTCTTTTTCTCTTAAGTTGCCTCTGTCACAGTATTTTACCACAGTAGCTAAGAGACACGCTGTAGTCGTGACAAAGGCCCAGCCCTCCCAGATGCTAGGGCCCCTGGACTAAGCAGCTCAGCTTCTCACAGACCAGAGACAGGACAACACCCATCTCACCTGCCCAAACGTCGTGTACAGGAACACAGGGATTTCAGCCACCGTCATGGCCAGAGCCTGGATCATGGACATGCCCTCAGTCCGCCGGAAAGCCATGGCAGGCCCAGCACCCCAAACAGGAGCCCTTGGGCCAAGAGCTTCCAAAGAGAACGTCTTCAACTGGCTACTGACTGGGTCCTGGACACCATCCACGCCTGGGCAGGACAGAGGCACATACACCAGACGGTCCCTCCACAGAGCTGAGAGACAGATGATAAAGTGAGACAAGAACATGCACTCAGGGCTGGGGCTGGGACTCAGTGGTATGAGGCCTCAGGTTCAATCCCCAGGCCTGCCCAAAAGCTTTGCGCCGAGGAGCTGGCTCAGTCAGCAAAAGCACTTGCCACACAAACCCAATAACTGGGTTCCCAAGAACCATGTGATGGTTAGTGTTCATTTCAGCTTGACAAAATCTAGAATCCCCTGGGAGATGGGTCTCTGAGCACATCTGTGGGGATTTTCTTTTTTTTAAAAAATATTTTATTTATTTTTATTTTATGTGTATGAGTGT